AATTCTTTCCTTCATATTAACTTTACATAGCAGGATGATTATATGATTATATGCCTTAGGGGTGAGCCTTTTGCAATGACTCTTCCAGAGGTTCTTTGGACTTTTTGTATATGAATGTTTAAATCTCTGGCAAGGTCAGGGAAGTTTTCTTCCATTATTCCCTCAAATGGGTTTTCCAAACCTGTTGCTTTCTCTTCATCCTCAGGAACACTTATAAGTCTTAGGTTTGGACATTTTACATAATCCCAAATTTCTTGGAGACTTTGTACCATTTTTTAAATTCTTTTTTCTTTATTGTTGCCTGGGTTAGTTCAAAAGCCTTGTCTTCTCCTGAGAGTCTTTCTTCTGCTTGTTATAGTCTACTGTTAAAACTTTTGACTGCATTTGTACTTTCATAAATGCCTCTTTCATTTCCAGAATTTCAGATTTTTTTTTTAAGGTATCTACCTCTTTGGAGAATTTTTCATCCATGTCCTGAATAGTTATTGGGGTATTTTGTTTGTTTTTTTCCTTATGTTGGTTTTCAATTTTCCCCTGAAGTTCATTGACCTATTTTATCATCAACCTTTTGAATTCTATGTCTGGAATTTCTACAATTTCATTTTGGTTAGGGTTTGTTGCTGAAGAGTTGGTGTGGTGTTTTTGCGGGGGAGGGGGATGTTGGAGAACTCTGTTTTTCCATATTGTCAGAACTATTTTTCTGGTTCCTTCTTATTTGGTTAGATGATTTCTCATTATTTGAGGTTGGCAGGGGGGTGACATAGACACTGTAAGGTCCCCTTGTTTATATATAGCCTTGGTGTGGTGAGTTTCTCAATTGCCAGTTGTGGCAGCCCTGTGTTGTATACCTGCACTGGGTCATGGCATCCTCAGTGGCTGGAGTGATGTGGAAAGTGTTGTTAGCTAGTGTTTGTGATCAGGCCTTCCCCAAAGCTAAGGTACTGTATCCATTGTGGTTGGCTGTACTGTTGACCTCTGGCCAGGAGGTAGTGCTTGTGTGAGAAAGCCAGCTATGATGGTGGCTGTAGGTTTCTTTGTGGCAAGAGTTGCTCCAAGAAGATGCCCAGCCAGCAGGGGTCAAGGGCAGGGCTCTGGGGATTTCCCAAGTTTTCTGTCTGTTTTGAACCTTCTGAGTTAGTACAGGGTAAAGGAGTTGAAGCACCTTACAAGTGTGCACTCTTACCTGCCCCAGTAGGGATTGAAGGGAGTCCCAGGTCACTGGGGTAATGCTGCTGTGCAGAATAGGCACAGAAGTTTCATAAAGGGAGTGAAATATTGCTATGGCAACATATCCCATCCAGATCCCACCTTGCAATCTGCAGTCTGAATGTAAAGATGCAGCAGGCCTCAGGTCTTCTGTTGTTCTCAGGCAACACACACAACCAGGAACTGCCTGCAGCAGCAGCGTTTGCCCTTGGAGCCCATTCCCTCCCAAGCTGCCTGGAAAGCAGCTACTCCACCCTGCAAGGGTTGATTTTCTGGAAAACGGTGGCTGGCACTGCTCAAGGCTGTTTTCCTACACCATTTCATGACAGACCATAGCTGAGGGGAAAGCAGTTTCCAGTGAGGGGCTTGGGTCCCACAGGGCTCAGGGAGACCTGCAAGTTTGCAGTAGGAGCACAGAACTCCCAAATTTCCATCACTCACCTTCTCCACTGTATCTGAAGGCTATGGCGGACTAGCAGTGCAGATATAAATCTTGTCAATTCCAGCCCAGGTTGATTAATTTTTTTCATCATCTTTGCTTTAAGTAGTTATTATCACTCTTTTGGAGACAGGTGGGACATACTGCTGGATCCATTCTACTTTGGGTGCTGAGAAAAATATCTTAGTTTACTCTGTAAGAAAAACTCACTCTAGCTGTCTCATGTTAATCATCTTAATCCATCTCAGTATTTTTTTATATATTTTTTGTTTTCTTAATTGTTTATGACAAGAACTTAACCTGATCTCAGTTATTCTGTCATGGCTAATGCTAAAGCTTCTAATTTATCCAAGTTGTGAATTCTTTTTTGATTCAAAAACTATTCAGAGGAATTTGTTTTTAATTTATGTCTAAAATATAATGTTGGTATGCTTAAGCTGCACACACTAATTTCAAATTTTATTGTGATTGTGATATTGTGATTAATTGTAATTTCAAATTTTATTATGATTGTTAGTGACATTTACGTTGTTTTGATTTTTTTTACTTTTTCTGCAGAAATTTATAAAATCAGTTTTTATAAATCATTGGTAGAAACAAAGTATTCTCTGGTAAGTACAAATTTTAATAAATATATGTTAATTGTAATTTCAAATTTTATTAATTGTATTTTTAGGGGGAAAAAAGATAGCTATAACCCTGACATTTTGACTTCTCCAGCAACTGTCTCTAAATGTCTCCAAGATTTAAACTGGGATGTATGCAAAGAGAATATCCAAGAAACAAACACTTTTTAGCTCTAGGATAGTGTTTCTAAATCACTATGTAGTAACTCAACCTGGAGAAGTGTGCTATTATATGTATCAGCTGCATGCAAAATTACTAAAAGCTGCAGAGTAAATTAGATTTTTTTTATTTGCCATTACTATTCCAATAATAGTGGTAGCCATGAGCACTAAGTTAAAGAGAAGTTTGTGGCTGCATCTAAATATTTTTGAGTACTGTAATCCAGAAGTAATGTCTCCCATGGATATGCATAAAATAGTATATGCAAAAATTCCACCTATATGTTATCCCTGGATCATCTGTTTCTTTCCTACTCTTTCTTAATTTTCTTAACTGACCTTCTAAACATGGGTGAGGAGAATCTTCAAACAGAAAAAGATCTAAGATCCATCTTAACTCATTAGTGATATGAGACATTCCACTATGGAGATACCACACAAGGAGAAATAAATCAAAAAATTAGCTGGGCATGGTGGTGCGCGCCTGTAGTTCCATCTACTTGGAAGGCTGAGGTGGAAAGGCTCAGCAGGTTGAGACTATGGTGTCCGTGAGCATGCCACTGCACTCCAGCCTAGGCAACAGAGTGAGACTCCAACTCAAAAAAATAAATAAATAAAAATTAAAAAACAATTTTTCTTCTTCTTTTAACAGCTCAACCCACTAATATCTTTTAGAAATGCCTATATAAATTTCTATGTAAGTTGTTTTTGTTTCTTTGTGAATGAGGGAAGGAATTAGAAATTTTTAAAAAATAATTTTATAAGAAAACTTTGCTAACTGTGAATTATTAAAATGCTTCCTTTTTATAACAATGAGAATTGCACAACTAACTCTAATATTATATTTATATTCATTTTGACTACTTGGAAACAGACAGAAATGAAATTCAAACATTGCAACTATTTGACTTTATGTTTGATCTGTTTTTATTTTGATTGGTCTTCACTCCCTTTTATTCTTCATGTTTTGTTATTTTAAAATAAAAATTTCTGAATTTTTATTTCATCAAAATTTATCATCTGTAGACAACATAGTTTTAATTCAACAGCAAATCTAGTTCATTTAAAGTCAGAAATGTGTCTTGAATTCATTCTTTCTTTCTATCTCTATCAGTATTACTCTAATTAAGATTACATCATTTTTTTGCCAAGATAATTTCAAGTGTCCTCTTTGTTTCCACTCTGGCCATTAGCACCACCTTTCTCTAGCCAACCCTCCCCCACAAACATATACACCTACATCTGCCTATTTTCTAATCAATAACCGGAAAACATTTTTCAAATGTAAAACAGATTACATCATTCTGCTTTTGAAACATATCGATCCTTTCTCAATGTACTTACAATAAAGTTAAAATTCCTTACATGATTTGAAATTTGCTCACTTATCCAACTTTCTGTGGTAACTGTTTTTTAGTGTTTTGTTTGTTTGTTTTTGTTTTTACTGAGCTTCAGCTATACTGCCTTCTCTGTTTCTTGATAAGGCCAAGTTTGTTCCATCCTTGGTATTTGCTCCTGCCTTTCTGTTTTTGCACAACTATATACCCTTTTCTTCATTTAGGATTCATTGCAAATGTCCCTTCTTCAAGGTGCTCTATTGAGAATAACCCTTGAGACCCATTGAAAATCACCTCATTCTTTTCAAAGCACTTATCCATGTCAGTAATTAACATTCATTAAAATACTTCCATATTATCTGTCAATCCTCCACCTCCCGCAAAGTAAAGAGAGATATTGTCTATCATATTCACCATAATACTCAGGCACTTGAAATAATGCCTGGCACATTGTACTCATGATAAACATATGCTGAACTAATGAATTAACTGACACATTACATTTCCCATACCACACATTATCTTGGTTGATTGTGTAAGAATTCATTCTTGAAAGCCATAAACTTTTTTGTTATTTTTCATTCAAAACATAAAAACACCTAATTTACAGCCTAGAGAGAAAATAACAATTAAAAAGAAACAAACAGAAAGTTGTAAAATACTGCACATATACTGGTCAAACTGAAAAAGACATAATATTTAGATAAGACTATAAATATCATCTTTTTATCAGAATTTGTAAGTCATAGTCTTGGCTTAACAGATACCAAGTACTGAGACCATATTAGCCTAGTTTTTTACTGAATCTTTTTCACTGAATTGCACTTTTTATTACAATATTGGCCTTTAATAAGATCTTTGCAAGAAAAAAAACAAGTAAAATTTTTGCATATTTGTTGTAACCATATTCACCACACTGCTGAATATTTTCTATGCAAATTTCCATAAAAGAAAAGGGGATTTTTTCTTATTAGGTGGGTTTTTTCTGAATGACTATGCAGCCATATATAAATATATATATATAATTTTATCATGTATAACTATAAATATTTATAATTATATATAATTATAACTATATATTTCACCATATATATATAATTTCACCTTACTCAAGTTGCTTTTAAAGAGTCAGAGTATAAGCACATACATATAAACATGATTATAAATACATAAATATATCTTTATAAAGAGCACATTTATTTTAAAGATGAAGACTTTTTTCCTCTTAAAATTTCACAGTGCATTTTTCACTTCCTTGTTCCTCCGACTATATATCAAAGGATCCAACATGGGAATCACAGTGGTGTACAACCCTAAG